AAAAATTTATCCGCATAAAGTTAAAAATGATTTTAAAGAGAATCATAAAAAAAAAGAAAATCACTTCAAGTTATTTATTTTATTTTTTTATTTTCGTAACCGTTTTTTTTTTTTTCTGATATCGGTCATCGATTTTTAATTAATTTATTGATTTATTGATTTTTTTTTTAAATACGAAAGCACGACTTTAAAAAATAAATAAATAAATAAATAAATAAAGGAAAGGAGAAATGTTGAATTTACACGTTTTCGTTTTGTTTGCGGTTTGGGGGGGGGGAAAAAAAAATAAAATAAAATAAAATTTTTTTATCCATATTATTTCTCCTTCCACGTCAAACCCCCCTTCCTCCCCGACCTTCCCCTTCCAAAAAAAAAAAATATTTTTTTGATTCGTCTGCAAAATTTAAATAATTGATCATCATTCGATAAAAAAAAAAAAAATTTATTCGTTTTGCTTTTTTCGAAAAAAGGTTAAAAGAAAATAATTTTTTTTTTTCTTCTCCAGTTTTTTTATTTTTTTATTTTCTCCAAAACTGACTGGAATTTATTTAATTACGACAACTGGAAAAGTTACGATTAAATGTTATATTTCGAACGTTTTAATTTTATATCGGATAAATTAAATTTAAAAAGAAAAAGAAAATTTTTTTCTTTTTATTTTTCTTCTTCGATTTTTATATAGGGAAACCTCGTTAAAAGATGGAAACTAATAAATAAAATTTTTTTATTTTTATTTTTTCTTCTGCCACGATTATCCGTGTCAAAAGACAATTAAATAAACATTGTAACTTTTCTTTTTTTTTTTTTTCAATTAACTTTTTTATATTGGGAAAAAAAAAGAAAAAAATGTCACACGGGTTTAGGGAAGAATTCCAGACGGAGTTTTCAAAAAAAAAAAAAATTTTCGTAAATTTTTATTAAGTTTAAGTTGTCCCAAATTCTAGAAAAAGTGGAGGGGGAAACCTTTGGGAAAACAAAGCAATAACAAAAACCACATGCTGCAGCAGATGTGTTTTTTTTTTAGGGTAAATAGTAATAATAATAATAATCGATAATTGTTGGTTATCCGAGAGATGGATAACGATAATGATAAAAAATTCCAGTAATTCCGGTAGTTTACTGGAAACAAAGGATAAATTAAAAGAAGGGCGGGGAGGGGGAAAAAGGATTTCAAGTGAGACTTAGTTAGTCAATTAAAAGGGAAAAAGCAAAGAGCAACCTTTTATCACGCGGTAAAAGGGTTTTATTACAAATTAAAACCAATCATTATTAAAAAAAACCTAAAAAAAAATTTTTTTATGTCATTTAACCACAAACGATAAAATAAAAAACGATAAAAAAATTCTTCCCCCTCTTTCGCAACCCCTCCCCTCCCCTCCCTTTTTTTTGTTTTCGCTGGAAACGCCCCCCGAAAAAAATTTTTTTTTTTTATTACAATTGAACATTATAAAAATCTTTCGGGGGTGATGATTTAACCGGTTGTAAAAAAAAAATACGTCGCGTTGCGATAAAACAAAATGGCGGACAAAAAAAAATTTTTTTTATTTTTTTCCAGGGGGCCAATGAAGACGAGTTATGGGCCAAAATTGGCTCTTGAAGTCATTAATTTTGACTTTTTGGAGTCTACTCTGTCATTTGACATCATCAACATCATCGACTCACAACATTGGAAAACATTTGGATTCGGACGCGAAGGTAATTAAGAAAATATTTTATAAAATCCGCGGGAAATTTGAAAAAAAAAACTCCGTGAAATTCAAATTTCTTACCGCCATTTCTACATTTGTTAAAGTCAAAAAGAAAAACAATCGTTTTTGTTATTTTGAATTTGTTACTTTTAACGACAGTTTAATCAATAATAATAATAGCAAAAGTCTCTACCGCCACCACCACCACCACCACTGTCACCGTCATCATCATCATCATTGTTATCGCTCGTTTACAATTTGCTATTGTTAATGTTTAGATTTTAATCGTTAAATTTAACGCTTCTCTCGTTCTCTTTCTCTCTCAATTTTTTTTTTTATTTAAAAAAGAAAAAAAAAAAGTTTTACGATCCATTAATTTTCCGATATTTAAATTTATTAAAAAAATTTATTTTTTAATAAATTTAAACTTTTTTAATTAATTACAAAAGAAAAATTGATAATTTATCACATATACGCGCGCACACACCCTCCCTCCCCCTTTTGTTCGTTATCATTTATCCAAGTCGACCTTTTTGATTCCGCCATTTTGTCATAATCAAACGATGTATGTTTATAAAAAAATTTTTTTATTTTTTTTGTTAATCATTATTGTTATGATAAAAAATGATGATTCAATTCAATTCGTTGATGTGAAAACCGGAAACTGGAATTTTTTCCTTAAATCTCTTGTTCCGCCAGGTTGTGTTTGCTTAACAAACAACAAACAAAAAAATGTTAACAAAAAAAATTCACAAAATGACGTGAAAAGAACGTAAAAGAAAATTTTCAAAAAATAATAATAATAATTCCGGTAATTTTCTAGAAAAAACGAAATCGGAGCCGCATAATAATAATAATAATAATCGCTCAAGGGCAATTTAATGAGGAAAATTTTTTATAAAAAAGAATCGATTTCATTCCAATCTCTGGAAAATTTTTCCCTAAAAAATATCTATCTATCGCAAAAACCTGGAATGTTTATCTTTAATAATAATAGTTTTTGGAAGGTTTCTTTTTTTTTTATCATTCCAAAAAACCCTTTACGGTTTAATAATAAAATAACAAAACAATTACAGAAAAACAAAAAAAAAATAATAATAATAAGAAAAAGGAAAAACGCGCGGGTTTTGCCTTTTTTTTTTGTTTTGTTTTGTTCATCATAAACAATCGAGATTAAATTGTAATCGGTTGAATGATTTTGAGGAAAATCCATATTTTCGAAACGAATCGAAAAACAAACTCCAGGAAAATTACAAACAAACAAACAAACACAAACGCGAAAACAAAAGCGAAAACAAACGCACACGAAAATTATAAACGCGTCAAATCGATAAAGAAAGGAAAAGAAAAGGACAAATTTTTTTTTTTTAAATTTATTTTTAATTTCAACAAACTTTCTTCATACGGAAATTATTATTATCATTATTATTATTATTATTATTATCATTTCGTAATTTTCTCCAGCGAAAAAAAAATACACGGCGTAATTATATAAATTTAAATTATGATTTTCACGCATTTACGAAAAAAAAAAAAAAAATTTTTTTTCTTTGTTTTCCATCATTAAAAAATTTTTTTTTTTTTTTTTCGGTTACGCGACGCGTTTTACATAATAATAATAATAATGATAATGATGGTAATGATAATAATGATGATAATTTCGCGTGCGTATTATGAACTCGGTACATACAAAAAAAAAGGGGAAAAAAAGGGAAAAAAAATTTTTTTTTCACGGATGATGAAAAACTTGAAAGTTTGTTTTTTTTTTTTTTTTTTTTTGTAAAATTAAAATTCCGAAAGCGAAAAAAAAAAGAAAAAAAAATTCTCTCGAACTCGGAAAATTCGTGAAATGATTAAAAATAAAAAAAAAAAAATTTTCCCCCTTTCCCTCCTTTTTTTTGGAGAAAAAAAAATTGAAACTGGAAAAAGTTTTTTTTTTTTTTTTTTTTTTTTTTTTTTTTTTTGGGAATTCGGCAAAAAAAAAAAAAAATCCCCCGAATGACATTTGTTTTTTTTTTTTTTTTTGTAAGATTTAATTTTTTTTTTTTTTCATCGATTGAATTTGGAATTTAGTCTTTCCAGTTTTCCAGTTTTCCAGTTTTTTTTTTTTTGTTTGTTTATAAACTCACGAATGGAATGATTTTTTTGAATTTTCTTTTTGAAAACTATTCCGTTACGTTTTTAGAATTTCAAATAAATAAAATTCCAGCATTGATTCCAGGCATTATTATTATTATTATTGTTAATTGAACTCTCTTTAGATATGATAAAATAATAATAATGATAATAATAAACGAGATGAAAGAAAATAATAATGATAATTAAATAAACGGTCGCGGAAAAAAAAGGTACACTTGACCTGAATGAACATTTCGAGATTTTTCTTTGATTATTGAACTTTAAAAAAAAGGGGGGGGGGGAACACAAAAGCAGAAGAAAAAAAAAAGGAAAAAGCAGAAGAAAAAAAAGGAGAAGAAGGAGGGATAAAAAAGCGTAAAAATAAATAAAAATAAAAATTTCAAGATTTCAGGAGCCATTAAACTTTCGCGTTTTCCTTTTTTTTTAAAACAACTTTTTTTTTTCCTTAACGAAAACGTTTTCACCTTTTTTTTTTAAAAAAAACGAGGCGTGAAATTTTTATTTATTACTACCAACCTTGAAAAAATAAAATCAAAACAACAACAACAAAAAAAAAAATAAATAAAATAAATTTTTTTCTGGATCATTATTTATATTAAATATGTATATCCGATGTTTGTTTTGTTTTATCGGTCTAAATAAATATTTTTTTTCCATCTAAAACCACGTACGTTTTCCTATTGCCACTATAACACCATCACCACAACTAGTTACACGTTAAATCGTCTCGGCATTTTTTTTTAAACCAAGTTTATGATGCATAAAAAAAAAAAAGAAAAAAAAAAAAGGAAAAAAATTTTCCGACTAAATTAAATAATCAATGACTGACTGGATAAATAAAAAAAAAAAAAAAAAATCGTCGTCCGCCGATGCAGACGACGACGCTAAACCACCGCCACCTTTACCGCCTCCCCCGCCGCTACACCGCCTTCTCGTTTTCCTACGAATTTTAATTTTGTCTCCAGTGCGGTAGGGAGAGAGAGAAAAAGAAAAAGAGAAAAAAAAACGGGGAGATTTTGGTTTTTCTTCTTTGCATATTTTTTCCAAGTGTTTAATTTGATTGAATTCGATGATGATGATAATAATGATGATAATGATGATGTTTTTTATATTTAAAATCAGGAGAAAACGGAAAAAGCTCTGGACATTATCCACGACATAGCGTATGGAAATATGGGATCCCTTTGCGTGACAGAAAATTATCGATCAGTGTTTGTAGATGTACAAACGACTAGATATGACGGTACGAGACAAAAAGCGGATATGGCATCACTTCTTTTGCAAGATTTGGGCGGAAATCATCACAACGGTGAGTTTTTTAATAAAAAAAATGAAGAAGTTTTGAAACGTCGCAAACTCTTGGTTTGTTTGTTTGTTTGTTTGTAGGTTTTTTAGATGCCATCAGCAAAAGTCTCATTTTATCCGACAGAAAAGTTTTCGCATCTCGAATTTTATCACTCAACGCTTCATCCGGTCTCGTCATAACGGCCGTCACGTGGCGTCGTCCGTCCACGTTGAAAGGTTCGGATTCGTTGACTCTGTTGGAAATCAACGGTCCCGTGAGAGTTACCGAAGAAGATCCGAAACCTGGAATCAAACCCGACAGGTTTTATCCTTGGTACGAAGATTCCGAATCCAGCCCACTGAGATCCCCAAAATTTATGACGAGTCCGGCGAACGTTTCATTCAAAGGATGGTGGACGTTTCCTTATTATTCCTGTTTGGCTAAAAAATGGCTGATGTCCTACAGCGTACCCGTTCCACCGACGGGAAGACACGCGTAAGTCAACCTTATTAATTTTCTCTCTCTCTCTCTCTCTCTTACGACATAAAGTTAATAATAATGATAATAATTTTGTTTTTTTTTTGTTATTTTGATTAATTTTTAACGTTAATTAATTATTTTTTCCTCGAAGAACGGACGAACGAACGGTATCAATTAATTACTATTATTATTATTATTATTAATATTAATTTATTTTAAACGTAAAAAAAAAAATAATAATAATAATAATATTTTTTTTTAACATTACAAACGACTCGTTTTTTTTTTTTTTGTTTTGATTGATTGATGATTGCTTTGAGCAGGCTGTCGATATTTTTTGCTGCCGTCACGTTGTTGTTTGCTGCGATTTTGTTATTATTTTCCGGTTGTTGTTGTTGTTGTTGTTTCTTGTTTAGGTTTCTCATAAGAATTTTTTAATTTTTCGAACTTAATTTTTTTTTTTCAATTTTTTAACGTGTAAAAACGTGAGGCAGCAGATGAAAGAGCAACAACAGGGAAAATAATATTCATTTTTTTTTCATCTCTCTCTCTTTCTCTCTCTTTCCAGAATGAAAAGTTTTTTAAGCGTCGATGTTGATCTTACGGGATTGGAAATCAATCAATGCGATCAATCAAATAAAAAAAATTCATTTAATTTAGATATCGAAATATTTTACGGAACGCACAAATGTCATAATGAAACCTCTCAGGTGAGAAAAATCAATTTGGCGCCATTTTTATTTAAAAAAAAAAAAAAAAATGAAATTTTCAATGTGATGATGATGATGATGATGATGATAAGAAATACGAGTTATTAATTTTTTGTTTCTTTCTTTTTGGGGGGGGGGGGAAAATTCTTGTTTTGACGAGTTTTTTTTTTTTTTCCTCTGCTTAGTTCAATCATCATCATCATTATCATTATCATTATCATTATTATTATAAATATTATATTAACTTTTATATGTTTAATTTAACAGTGCAAAAAAAAATTAAAAACCGGATGGACCAGAGGCGGATATCAATGCGTTTGTAAACTCGGATATTTCACGAAAAAAAAAGAAGCTTTCGACGGTTCATTAGTCGAAGGTAAAACGAACATGTCGTTAATTAAATAATAATAATAATAATAATAATAATAATGATGATAATGATGATGATGATGATGATGATAATTTATTTTTTATGAAAGCTGCTTGGCAAGAAAAATTACTCAACATCAGTCGCGTCTACGACGAAGCTTTTAAATGTCACAAATGCGCTCCCGGTTGTCACACGTGTCACGATTTGTCACCCTGTTTGGCATTTTACAACTGGCCTTTTAGGTATAACAAACAAACAAACAACAACAATATTTCGTTTTAATTTTTTTTTTATTATTCAAATAAAAAATTTTGGACGTAAAACAAACGAGGGGACGAACAAACGGATGATTTGTATTGAATCCGTGCGGTTTTTTTTTTTTTTTTGTTTTATTCTCTCGTCGTCCATTTAAAATTTTAAGGGTTTCTCATCATATAAAATTAAAAAATATACAGCAGAAGATAAATTTTTTTTTTCAGGATAACTTTACTTGCGGTTTCACTTTTCTGCGTTTTTTTTACTCTCGGCCTCATTTTTTACGTATTCAAACATCGAAGATTAAAAGTATTTAAAGTTGCGAGTCCAATTTTTTTGGCCATAACCCTTTGCGGATGTTCCATAATGTATTTGGAGGTAATTTTTTTTTTTTTTTTTTTTAATTAAAAGAGAGAAAATGAAAAAAATTTTTATTTAATCATTCTATGGTGTTCCAGATGGCGGCCATATTTCCAGTTTTAGATAGGTATTCTTGCATTGCTACGAAATGGAGCAGACATTTGGGATTTTGCATAACTTACACGGCACTTCTCATGAAAACCTGGAGGTGACTCCAAAAATCAAATAAAAACAAAAATAAAAATTTTTCCAACAAAAAAAAAATATATTATTTTATTTTCCAGAGTTTCATTGACGTATCGCGTGAAATCCGCGCATAAAGTTAAATTAACCGACAAGCAACTTCTCCAGTGGATGTTTCCAATACTTTTGGTCATGCTTATTTATTTGGGAGCGTGGACGTTAAGCGATCCTCCGGATGCTGAAGAAATAACCGACAGCGGTGGTTTAAGGTTTAAACAATGCACGTTTAATTGGTGGGATCATAGCATAGCCATAGGTAATTTTAAAGTCGATGTCTTCCTCCTTATCAACAACAACAACAACAACCTCGACTGATTAATATTTTCCAGGTGAAGTTTTGTTTCTTGCTTGGGGCATCAAAGTTTGTTACAACGTTAGGAACGCCGAATCGTTTTACAATGAAGCACATTTGATAAGTTATGCCATATACAATATTGCCGTAGTCAACATAGCCATGGTAGCCTTCCAGTAGGTATTGAAAAACGTCAAATCGTTCTTGAATTCGTTATGAAATCTTAAAAAAAAAAAAAATAATTGTTTGTTTGTTTGTTTTTCAGTTTATTAATATTTCCACAAGCAGGACCAGATATAAAATATTTGCTGGGATTTATAAGAACTCAATTGAGCACATCGGTGACTGTGGCTTTGGTATTCGGTCCAAAAGTAAGACGTAAAAAAATTCTCTTGTTTTTCTTATCGAGACAAAAAAAAAAAATCAACAAATCAACTCAAAAAATGATTTTAGGTTACACGAGTTTGGAGAGGTCAAGGAGATCAATGGGATAATCGTGCCAGAGCCAGAGGTGTAACGGCCTCTTTTTCTTTAAATGGAATCGGTTTGGCTACCGAAGAAACGGCGGATTTATATCAGGAAAATGAAGAATTAAAGGTTGGGACACTTTTTATTTTTTATTTTTTTTATTTCTTTTCGTCTATCACGTGATCGATGATCGATCGATTGATTTATTTAGGAAGAAATACAAAAACTCGCTGGACAAATTGAATTTATGAAAATTGTACACATGGAAACGAATAACAGGCATTTAAAACCCAAAGTTGGAAGTTATTTTCATGGAGTTAATGCGACGATGATGTTACAAAGTCCGATTGGAAAACCTAAAAACTCAACGGAAAACGTACATTAATGTTGATGTTGTCGTTGTTGTTGTTTTTGTTGTTGTTCTTTTGTTTTTACGTAAAAAGAAATTTATAAAAAAAAAACAATGGTTGTGAAATAGTTTATAGATCTACTATATATATACGACTTGTGTTTTTTTTTTTTTTAATTGAATGTTGTTGCCTTTTCGGTATAAATGCTTTACTACAAACAAACAAACAAAAAAACTCGACGACATTTTTTTGTTATTTTTATAATAAAAAAAAAAAAAAAAATTTCGTGAAACGCTTTTTATACACCCCCCCGGCCCCCTTTGAATCACTTATAACTTTTATGGAATTAATGGACGACATTTTTTTTTTTATTTATTAATAAAATAATAAATTTTTATAAAAAATATTTGAAAAAAAAATGAAAAAAAAATGACTTATTTGTGACGCAAATTATAATAATAATAATAATTAGACTGGAAAATTCTGAAAAACTTGTAAAAAAAAATAAGCAAACAAAAAAAAAATTATTATTCGAGGTTGACTAATTTATTATTATTATTAATTATTATTATTATTTATTTATTTATTTGTTTATGTATTTATTTATTAATTTGAAAAAAAACTCTTGTCAATTACGTCACTCATTATCATTATTATTATTATTTAAATTTTTTATTTTTATTTTGTTTATGGACTTAATGAAAACGTTAAAAATTAATTTTTAATTAAATAATCATTTCCGCCATCTTAAATAAAACGTGTATAAATAATAATAATAATAATAA